GGCCAGCTTTAGATTTCTGAATGCTTTAAAGAGAAAAGTCTCTTGAAAAGTTAACAGAACTTGAAAACCTAAACACCTAGTAATTTTTCAATGGAAATTCTTCCTTGTGGTTTTACATTTTTCATGGGAGCTGCTATGATCAAAGTTGTTGTAAATAAGTTAACACAAACAGCAGATATGGGCTACTTCAAAAAGGATCCTTTTATACTAAGCAGCTTGATGTATCTGAGGCAGGAACTGAAGGAAAGCTGCTGCTTTCAGTAGCATTTCAAGCAGCTCACAGAAGTACACACACCAGCTGAGAAAGAAAGAAACCAGAACCTCAACACAGACTTATTTTTCCATCCTGCTGCTTTATCGGGCTTTAAGGCTCAAATTAACACTAAGACTTTACATATTAAAAAACCCAAACAAACAAAAAACAACAACAAAAAACCCAAACAAACAAAAAAAGATCAAAACACAACAAAAAAACCCCAAACCAAAACAAAGAAACATTAAATATGCAAATACTCACAACATCTATTCCTTCCATAACTAAAAATAGGAAAGAGCACTGCCTACTATTCAGTGGCCTCAGCTTTAGCAATGCAGTGCTTCACATTTATGGACCATCAGGGCCCTAGTTTGACATCCTCTCACACTACAGAAAATCTGCATATTTAAATAATTCAGGCAACTAAGTCAAGGCCACACACGGTTGGATGGCTAAACCAAGGCAGTCCCTTAATGATTTGACAGACTGGATGGCATGAATGGTTCCCGTTACAGAATTTGGCTTTCTCTTGCTGCATCCTTTATGTCTGTGTGAGCCATTAACAAGAAATGTGATGCCCAATCTAGACTGTTTTGAAAAGGTGCAGGAGTACAAACTCTCTTCATCACTTAGATTTCAATAGCCCAGTGCTAAAAGCAGAAACATCAAGTACTGCAATTCAGATACAAGAAATTTAACTACTTATTCTCAGTCAGCTGTGAAATATTTCTAGCAATGCACACATTCACTCTATTAATATTTCTTAAAAACCTTAATGGAATGACAGAAATAAAAAATAACTATTAATACTAACAGATCACTTTGCTTATTATTGGTTTTCGCACGATTAGACAGCAACATGACAGACTTAATCTGAAGAATATTCCAATGAAAATGCTAGCACTAAGGCAGACCAAGAATTTTTATGCTACCAGTATTTTCTTTTCAAGCATCACAATTAGGCTGTGTGACTTGAGGGCCTACACTAACACATGGATGAAAATAATTGAAAATACTATGAATCTTTTAAATCCACCTATTGATGCTTTGCATAAGAACCTATTATTATGCATTTGTGGGATAGAAGCAGAAACACAGTATAGATCTGTGAAAGCCACATCATTGTCTTTTGGAAATTTTGCCATTTGAAAGCACTTTGGCCCCGAAGTTTATGTACAGCTGCCTTACACTATTTTTCAAAGAGAACCATCCCTCTCACTGCTGCTAAACTTTTAACTGAAAACAAAATCCAAAACCCACCACTCCAAAAATATAACTTCCATAAGAGCTAGTTAATTAAACAAATAAATAATTTCACAGATTAATGACAAACAGAACATAGTTTGTGAATTACTCATTTAAGTATTGGGTAATTGCCCAAAATGACATTATTTAATTCCTCACACTTATTATGGAGAACTAGTTTCCTGAAGGCAGAACTACAAACTGAAATTAAGCATAAATCTCTAGGTGGTACTTTATTTATTCCCTTCAATGACTTACTACTATTCCTACAAATACTATTGCTGTACATAAAGCTGAACTCTAGACACACACATTCTAAAATCCAGAACAATTCAGAGATCTCGTTTAAAGCACAGGCATGCAGGAACTGCAATGTCAAACTGAAGAACCACTGAACTGCAATGAGGGAGTAGAAAGAAGGAGCATTGCAAACTATCTTTACCATCACAGAAACTGTAAGACTCAACTCTTCAGCACTGACTTAACATTCAACTTCGTTCTGATCTGACCGATGCTGGGAGGCTGAGTTGTCATAGCAATGGAAAAGGAAAAAAGAAAAGAAGGCAACCCCTCTCTGGTAATTGCAGCTTTCAAGCTAGCTTTAAACCTGGAAAAAAGCATCTCAGCTGCCTGACAGAGATCTAAAATTGGCAACTGAGGCGCATATTCCAAACCAACACAATAACTGCTCTCCACATTCACAAAATGCAGCAAGAGCCCAGAAGTTACACTCTCTTGGGACTTCCTAAAATTTCTGAATCACGTCCTTTCAGTTTCAAGACTATCTGCTGGCTCTTCTCAAAGCATTTTTTGAAGAAATCATGACTAAGGAATTATACTTGTACCAAGTACACATGTACCAAGGCAAATACATCACAATAGACAACCACAGGGATAAGAACGCACCAGCCAGAAGCATAAAGCAGAAAATTTCATTCATGATTCAAGTATCAGGAAGCAACTTTCATACATTACTTTCCTCTTGTTGCTTATCCACCACTGGGATCAGAGCAGACTGGTATTTCTAAAGTGTCCCCTCCTCTCTTCCTTCAGAAAGCGATAAAAAAATCAAGCAAGCTATCATCACGTTTGGCTGCCTACAGTAAGATTGACTTTTCCCCCTCAATAATTGCTGAATTGGGAGTATGTATTAATGAGAAGGGAGTGGCAGATTTCCTTAAGGAAGTCCCCTGACCAGGCCTTAGATCTGGACTCGAGCAGCCAAGCAAGTATGGCAACAGCCCAGATGAGCTGCACCCACAGCTCAGCTCTCTGAACACGAGAGCTGGTCTGCTCCTACAGTGCACTCGAACCATTCAGCCAACAGACTTTCAAAGTTCCCTCTTTAACTGGTAAATTATGTGGTCCTGCATTTACTGCCTAGATCAGGCATTCCCAAAGAGTGGCACACCCTGAAGTAATTGTTTGCTATTCTTAATATAAGATAAATCTGTCTAAGTTCAAAATCTGTCCAGGCAGAGGCTTCCATCCAGCCTGCAAGAATTTTTACCTCCTGCCAAAATAGCATACACTTCTAGATCAGAATGTGAAAGGAATGGAAGGACTAAACTGACAAACAATGGGAAAAACTAGGGAGCTCAGACCAAAGGTAGATGATGCTGTGCAGCTAGGAGAGAAGTTTGTGATAACAATATGAAAAAATACGTAACTTGGGTACTACTGCATATGTGATCCATACAAATAAAGAGGTTTATGGAAGTATTTTTAAATTAATGCTATCTAACTGCAAACCTACACATGGAGTCAACCACTAACTATACCTGGTTTAGAGATATTGAGACTTCCAGGTATTGGATGTTCTCAGCTTGTATTATCAAATGTAGACAATTAATTTAGAGTCCAAACTGGAAACACCCTACTTAGCTTTTCAGTTTAGCTGTTTTGCTTTAACAAAGAAAGGGCTTCTATTCAGGAGATGTAATTTTTCATCACTTAAAGAAACACTCCAAAATAAAGATACATAGCCAGATAACAAAATGTCACTGAACCAACTACCAAAACAAAAAGCAATCAAAGACCAACATTTTACTCTAGATGTCCAAGAAAAACTAATTTTTTAAAAAAGTTAGATGCCACAAACTATTAATATCTGACGGTCAGGAACTAAAATGCTTGGCCAAGTTTTCATATTACACACTGCAAAACTCCAGAGTTACAAGACTAAAGAAATAAAAGATTCTTGTCAAAAGAACTAGCTGACATCTACCAAGCATGACAGGGTATAGGAAAGATCCCAACCCTCCCCCTTAAACCTATGCAATGGGAAGAGACCAAAAAAGCTCCTTTTAAGTACTAGGTTTAGAATTTGTTTTTCCTTTTCTGTTTCACCTCTTCTTTATTCTCCTAAAATAAGGCATTCTTACATCATATTTCATGCTTCCCAAGTACTAATTACCTTCAACCCATAATACAGTCCAGAAATAACTCAGATATAAGCACTATGTGAGAACTTTATATGCCTTCCTCAATTAGAAGTAAACGATTCTGCATTACTTTAAATGTATCTTTCCCATTTTTCAACTAATGCATCTGTGATATGCTGATGCCTGCAGTGATAGCATCAATTTGAAGACTTGAGGAGAAGACATTCACTAATGCCTTTGAAACACCTCAAAACAATGCTTTTTTCTACCAAAAAAGGACACAAATGACAAACATTACCAGTGAAACTAGCTGTGCATGAGGTCTTACTGTGAAAACCAGAAATGTTAAAACCAGTATCTCTGCTATCATGCACTGCTTGCACAAGTTGATCTGCAGGCCACCTGGCTATAAGGGAAAGCAGTCAAGCACATTAAGTATCAAGCTGAGGACTAACAGAAGTGATGAGGTGGCTTATGGTTCTTAACTTTTATTTGGTTTAAAAATCGTTAATAAAAAGATTCCTCCGTGGAAGGCTACTTGTTTAGAATTAAGGATGACTAGCCTATTAAAATCACCAACACACTTACAAATCAGGTAACAAGAGAAGTAAGTGATCTTCAGGCCAAACTGCCCTGGGCTCAGTATTTGTTATCTTCTTGCTTGGCTTTCACAATTTCTGATTTACTCAAATATAGCCTTCAACTTTATAGGTGCAGCAGCTAAGAGCAAAGGCTTCTGTTCCTTCCAGCAGTTTAATTACTAATGATTGGAGAAGAGTTTTGCTAGAAAAAAGTAACCTTAAGACAAGGCTGTCCCTTGTTTTCACAGCTCACTGTCTGGGAAATCTGATCTGCAACTTGGAAACAGTACATCAAATCAGGATTCTTAGCTTCCTGATTTGCACTAATATGAATAATCATAGCAACTCACTGGTTTTCTAATTAAACTACTGCTTTATCATAAGCCATCTGTTTAATCTTTAGTCCCAAAAATTTTTATGTGTATTTATGTGCTCCAACGAAAATAAATTAAGAAAAACAAAAACACTGCCATCAAAGACATGGAAAAGGAGATAACATTAATGAAAATACTATGAACTTAGGCATAGGCTCACCTTAAATCTTTTATCCTGCAGGACTTTCTTAATGGCCACAAGCTCTCCTGAATCACAGAGTTTGGCTTGATACACAACACCAAAAGATCCATTTCCAATCACCTTGGTGTCTGTGTAGCTGACTTCTTGTGGTCGGTCCGGACCTTGTCCAGGAGTTGCCACTACTGTAGTCACTTTGCTGCCATCTTTGTCTCCTGCAAAGCAAGAGATGCACAAATAATCAAAATACATGCATAGACAAGATGAACAACAAGACTAAAACACAGACCGGTAAGACAAAGATTTAGATCAGCATATGGACTTCAATATTGTAGAGAAAAATACAAAACCTCTGACAAAATGCAAAGGAAACTGAGCATGTTTTTTACCAATATATATTAAGTGGTGACAATTTTTCATTTAGATTATTGCTAACAAAAATTTGCTCTCCAGAAGCAAATAATTGAGCAACAAAATGTAATGCAAAAAGAAGCCAAGTATTTATCCCTACATCTGATTATCAAGTAAGTGATATTAAACACAGTGTTGTTTGCATTATCAAAATGAAACATTTTCCCATATTTTTCCTATAATTGAAGAAACCAAACTGCCAGTATGAGCTCAGATCAGCACTCTGATCTTTACAGGCATTTATCTAGCAACAAAAACCAGGAGCACTTTAAGTTTTCTACAAATCCACCCACATGTAAAGCTTCAGCTTGCAGCACTAGGAATCTTAACCTTTGTCAAACCTGGCTGTGTGCACCTTAAGCAAAACCTAGGCTGAACCACATGGCACAGCCCTGTTCCTCCCTTCTTCCATGCCTGGACTTCCTTACAAAGAAGGGAGGCACTTGCTGGGGCAGGGGAAGAAGGGGGAGAGGGATGACAACAGCAGGCACTTGGCTGATATCTCAAGATGAATCAGAACACAGCCAGGGACAGTGCTCAGGATGCAAGATCGCAGTGGAAGCTGCACAGCTGAATGTGCTTTGGCACAGATGCAACAGCAGTAGGTTTTACTGGCATTTTCCCAGCTGCTTTCCCACCAAAAGACGCAAGCCACTATCATCTACCTAAAAACAGACTCTGAAAAGGAAGCTTATCTCATCTCTACCCAACATGCAGGCAACTCCTTGTGTCCGACTTAAAACACATTTGTTTGTACAGCCCAGCACAATGTTTGCAGCTTGTGCAATGCTGCAACCTCATGATCATCTTGTGTACCAAACTCTCCTCTGCAGAGCTGCTGCCTGTCCAATCCTCAGCCACTTTCCACTTACACACCTGATCGCTCTTATCAAAGCCTAATATTCTGCATTTGTCCCGACTGAACTGCATCCAAGGTTACTGAACTCTCTTGCCAGCTTATCACATCCTCCAAACACAGTCACTACCCAGAGATCCATTTCCTGATGCTACATGAAATTTACCTAAGAAATTGGTGAAAACTGGTGAATCCTATTAGATTGTCTAAAAGCCCTGCAAAAACCCATAGAATAGCTCATCCTGTTTTTTCTTGAACCGTCTGTTATGCTCAGACAAAATAATCAAATCATTTTGTATGCCTTTCATGGGATTTCCCATAGTCCATTGTTTTTCTAGATTTCTCATGAGAAAATTAGTTTGAAAACTTCAGTCAAAATGCCCAGATCTACTACTACTTCTGCACTTAGAAGATTCAGAAAAAAAGAAGGTGGCTTGACATAATTTCCTCCTGAAAAATCCACATTAACTACTATCCATCTCCTATGTTGCCTTTAAGGTTCTTACAAATTGTATCGTTTTATTACAACTACTCCATGAAACGAATTAACAAATCAAATATAAATAAAGTACATTCGTGCTAAGGGTGCCGATTACTTGCCAAGCAATACAGAGTAGGTATAGCCCTTCTGCCTAATAGCCATGAGAAGCTGAGATGCAGATTTATAAATTTGCAGAGAAAATGGGGCAGGGGGTAGAAAGGAACACTAGACAGATGAATGTCTTACAGGGAGAGAGAGAGAGAAGCATAAACAGAAGCATACTAGCTTCATGGAGAATTCACTCTCCTCTTTGGTAACTGCAAAAAATAAAAGGAAGGAAGCCACAAATACAAAGAAATGTTTTGTGGTTTTTATTGTAAACAAGCTCAAAGTGTAACTCTCATAGCAGCGATGCATTTTATTTGCCCAACTATTCTATGATTAGCATTCTAACTCATCAAATATACAAATAAGTTAAATGTGCTTTACTACAGCAATCCGCATCAAATAAAAGGTAAATCCCCTATCTGCTCAATTTTGAGGGGCAATTTTTTTTTTCTTTTTGGCAGAGTTCACTAGATCAGAGTATTGAGATTATTGTTAATGAGTTTTATTCTCCAATTTTCCAAAAATCAAGACTAATGAACTATTAGAGATAAAAATGATTGTCCCTTTAGTAGCATCTGATATCAAGAAATCTGCTCTAAGGACTTTCTTCAGAGCTGCAATTCTCTCAAAAGCTTCCTTGTCCACAAAAGCAAACCCTGAATTTCAGGCCACTTCAAATGTTTTGTTCCAATGTGCAGCCCACAAGCTGCAGCCATCCAGCCAACTTTTCACAGGTCAAATGACAAACCAGTCACCTTTAGACACTTTCCTTTAAGTCCACAGGAAAAGGGCTCCTAACTAAACTTTCTGAAATCAGAGCTTAGTTAAACACCACACCAAGAATTACTTTGTTTCTTTACCAGAATTTAGAGAGCATTAAGCCTCATAGAGCTTTCTCCCAGCTTTCTGTTTTCAGGAAACTAGTTTTTGCAAACCATCCACAAAACACACCATAAGGACTCCAATCTTTAAGCCTGTTAGAGTTTCAGTTACATTCTAGTTCAGTATTGTTGAACCTGAAAGGACTACAGGCATAAAATTCACCTTGTACCCTTGACAGCTTTGACCTCCAACAATAAAGCATCCCACTGCTGCTCCAAGTACATAAATAATGTGTTTGTATGGTGGCAACATCCAGAGACCGCAAGCCTGTTTTGCAACTCCTTGCACTACACAGATTTAAAGTACCGCTCACAAGATGATACATAGTTCAGAATGGTTATCCAGTTTTAATTGTCTGGACAGCAAGCGCCAACTTGCCAGCCAAGCAGCCCATAAAGGAGTTTACTTAACAGCTTTCAGAAATGCTGGGTTTAGCCTCAGCACGATGGAAGATAGCAGAGAGGAAATAGCCCTGTCTAGCAATCTTCAGTACCTCCAAACAGATTCCTAACAGCAAACACCAAGAAGCATTATACAGCAACTCTTAAAGAGAAACCTAGACAGTTCTCATCTCATTCCCTTCACCTCTTATTTTGTTTAGGATTGTCAAACTCCGTGTCCCCAGTGGATAGGCAGGCACTGCCAAACACTGAATACCCTTGACACCTTTGACTGTAAAATCCACAACAGAACTAGGACATTAAATAGAAAAATTAAAGAAGGAAGGACTAAATAGCACAGCTCACATGAAAAGCATCACTAGTACATGCCCAGAAGCTGCTGCTTTCTAGGGCCGACAGCAATATGACTGCTTTACTGTAACCAAAAAGCAAATTCATGTGACTATATAACCATCATCTATGCCAACCAGCTTTATAACATCCAGGGTAGAAGCATAAAATAGTTATCACACTACAATACACTTGTACTTGCACTTGGTATGTTTCATAGAAACCTGCTGGGTTAAATCTCTGGTGCTCTCAGCACCATTTGTCAAGTTGTCTTCTTTAATGAGCCAAGCAGCTAATAGTTGCCATAAAATTTTTTACTGCAGAAGCACATCAGTCTCAAAGCAAAAGTTACAGATGGTAAAGTCCATGCTAAGTTTTGGTATAGAGTCTCAAATAGAAGCAGAAGCTGCTCCCGGAGGTCCTAGCAGAGCCGACGTTGCTGCAGCTCCAGTCTTCTTTTTTAGGTGCTGATGATGGTGGCCAGAGAGCAGGAACAAAAGCAAATGGCAAAAAGCACACGGCAAAAAGAACCAGCTCTCCCTAATGCATGTTCTTATATAGAAACTTCTAAACAAGCTAAGACACAAACTCGAACCACCTCTTAACCTATTAGAATTCTAGTTTCTCAACACGCCAGGTTATGTATAAACTGCACATATGGTCTGTCTTGTTCTACCTGAAAAATGTAAGCAATATTCTTCCTGTAGTTTTATTATGTCTAAAACTATGTTCCCGGAGCCTCCACGGATACACTGGTATCTAAGACTATGTTTTTTAACCTTCACTAAAACTTGCACTTCTATCTAAGACCTTTCACTCACAAAAAGCACTTAAAACTCATTTTACTTACTTACTTGCTTGCTTATGCTAAAACTTAAATTTACACCTCTGCTTTATGTGTGAGTGGCTTAAAATACTTTAATCCATCCAAAAGTTTTAATTCAATCCCTGCACGCTGATTTCTCTCTGAATTCTTCAGAGAGACCTTTGATTACAGACTCCAACAGAAACCCTTAAAGCATTTCCTCACACAGTACTGATGTTTAACATCCATGATGTGGTATTTGGGGATTGAGATTTTTTGATGAAGGGTTTTTTCCACAATTCTGATGTGAAATTGAAAATAAAATCCAGACATTTCAATTTCCAAGTGTTCCGATTGATCTAGTTCACTTTCTACCTTTAGCACATCATGACAACATGGGATAAATCACCAGCATTAGGTAAAATCAGTGAAAGCACTGTAGAAAGCAGAGAATACTCATCAGTTTGTGGAAAGAAATGAGCATACTCCACTTAGAAGACTGCAGCCATCAGTGCAAGCTGCAACCCTATTTTGCAATCTCAAAAAAGAAAACAGAAACAAACATGGTGGAAGATGTTTATATTTTTACCCAGGTGAGATTAGTGATCCTGCTATTGGGCAAGCATTTTGTCACATATATACCCTACCAGCTGCAGATTCCTACTATTCAGCTCAACGGTGACCATCTGTAACTGCACTGCATGTATACTTTTGTCCCGTGCCAAATGAGGTGTCATTCAATAAAATTCACTTCAGTCCTCAGGAACTATGAAAAGCATCCTTTGCTATTGATCACCCACACACTCCTTCTACTGAACTGGCCTGGAGAAAGTCCAAAACTATGTCTGTCCTACATCCCTTTAGCTGCTTAGTGTCTGACTGAGCAGTAAAAGCACACTTTAATGTGCAGACAGAGATTTAAGATTCCTTTTCTTCCTCTC